GGGGGGGGGGGGGGGGGGGGGGGGGCGGCCCCCGCCACTGCATTCACACCAGGAGGGTGGTGGGGGGCATGTGCCTCCAGATCTGCACAAAGCAGGGCTGAGTGGGCTGGGGCCAGGGCTGCATTGGGCTGTTCCGCAGGGGGGCGCATGCTGGGCCAAGCTTTGCTTGGGGTGAGTGGCAACAGTGCTGGGAGGAGGGCTATGGTGGGGCCTATGGCAAAATTTGGAGTGGCTGCAGTTCCCCCTGTAGCCCCTCTCCTAGTGCCACTGCCTGCCCTGAGCACAGCGCAGCCCAGCCCCTGCTGGAAAGAGCCCAGTGTGGCTCCTGGCCCCAGCCCATAGCTGCAGCCCACCTTGGCCCGCCCTGTGCTGATCTGGGGGGCACACACCTCTCCCCCATGCCCTCCCTGGGTGTGCATAGTGGCGGGAGCTGCTCCCCCTTCCTGCACCCCACAGATGAGCTGCGGCTCTGTCCCGTGCCTTGCCCCACCCCAGGTGGGCAGTGCCAGCCCCACTCCATCATTGTGCAGGGCATTAATCTGACCCCCACACCCCTTCCCCTCCCCTCTCCCTTTCCACCACAACAGACTTACTAGGTGGACACAGCTGTATCGGAAATCGGATCATTATTGGCCGATATGCCTCCTTAAAAATCAGCTATCAGTATCTCCCTCCCAAAATCTCTATTGGTGCACCCCTAAAGATAATACTTTTCATTTTGATACCAAGTAACAAGACTTGATGTCCTATGACTATAGGCCTTCTGAGCCCTGTGCCACAATGTTGAGACAGCAGAGCAGCTACAGGATGGTGTAGCACATAGTACACCATTACAGTGAATAGGTTGGGGATCATTTCCCAAGACTTCATGTAAAGAGAATATACAGTAATTAGAGACAGGGCACAGGCAGATCATAAAAAGGACATGTTTCTATCTCTGCATTTATAATAAATGTAATTGAATGTTACTAAATGGACTAGTTTGGAGACCAAATTCCTCTCAGTAGTAGCATTACCTTTCTTATGCTGCTGTATGTCTAAGTTAATTTCCTTTAGGAATGAGAAAGTTGTCTAGTCTCTGTGCCTAGTTAAATCAGAGCCTCTTTGGTAAGATTATCTGTGAGGAGGCAGTTATTTGTAACAGGCACTTGTTCAACAAGACCTGCACTGAGACCACTTAACTCTTTTAACACTATGATACCTAATGCTGCTTTCAGACATTAAAAACAAACAAACAAAAAACAACCCAAAACCACATTTTACTGGAAGAAGCAGCGCATTACTTCAGCCCAGTTTGCAGTGTTTGTATAGATTGGGCACTTCAGCGGGGCTTTTTGGCACTTTTATCTAATGCTGATTCAATCACTAAGGCACCGGAGCTATACAAACGTTAGGTGAGCTGGGTCCAACTGCATCTTCTGAGCAAATGCTGAGATCAGTGTGGGGGCACATGGAGTTTAAAGTAAAGAACCATTTCTTGTTTTTTTTCTTAATGTCTGCAAGCAGCCTAAAATCTTAAGGCAGACAGTTGTACCCTCTAATTACAATGACTTGGATGAGATTCTAGTCTCCATACTAGTATTCAAAACATTTGGGCATCTACTACTCCCAGAAGTTCTACTCCCTCCATCAGATAGAGCCTCTGTGATGAGTTATTGTGTTTTCCTATTTTAGGTGTCTTGTTGGCAATCCCAGTGGAAGAAGCTTTGGTGATGTGGCTTTCCTGGAACATTACAACCTGCTCCAGAATATTGAGAGTGAGATGCAGCCCTTTTCTCATTTTTAAAGAATGTCTCCTCACATAATAACCATAGTGCCTAGAAGCTACTTTTTCATGTCTTATCTGAGTACAGAGCTGTTTTGAAATGGAAAGAATCTGCGAGTGCAGGAGCATAGAGAAGACCAAGTTGTGGAAAGCACATAAGACCTGGGGAGTTAAATATAAAATCATCTTTGGATAGAACATCTTTAAGCATTAAATTTTAAACTCCCAAGCTATTTGCCCCCAGCTCCAATCTTAATAGCAGCAGTGAGAAGTCACATCCTTCAGGGGGGAAAAAGAGAAGGAAATCCCTTTTTCATTTAGGATGACAAAACATTGAACAAAGTTATCTCAATGGCTTGTTAAATTTGAGCTGTAAAACCTCCTGAGCACAGCATTTGTAAGAGGCAGTGGTCTGTCCAGATTGGGATTCATATTCCTTAAAAAAATGGACTTTCACATTAATATGTACACTGACAAACATTTTCTGCAAACTAGTTAAGGGCTAAATGTACCTACAGACTGAACTATTGCCTCTGAGAGATGGCCTTTCCAGCTGTATATTAAGATGGATTGAGGGAATGATAAAGTGTCCATATGAGGAGTTGCTATTTCTTCAGTTTTTGTTACATGGGTTAAAATAAAATTCTCCCCACACATTCATTCCACATCCTCTGTAAATGATTATGTGGCAAGTTGTACTTGTTGGACACAATGGACTGAGTTGCTTCTTCAATGGGCACGTCTACACATGTGCTTTAATGTGTATTAGCCTAATTTAATGTGCATTACAGCACCACTAAAACATGCTATTTAGCTAATGTGCATTAAGTGTCACTTAAACTGTGCTCTTTAGTTAATGTGCATTAAGACAGGCTAATGTGCATTTTCCTAGTACTTCACAATGGAGGGCATTTTTACATGTGCTCCAGGGATGGGGAGGTGTTTTAATTAGAGCAGCTCTGAGAGCCACTCTAATTAAAGCACTCGGAGCATCTCGTGTATTAGTGTTCCCACACTTCAGAATGCTTCAGGAGGTGCCATTTTGAAGTACAGGGATGCTGATACATGAGACACGGAAGCTGGTTGGAGCACGGTAATTACCATGCCCCAGCAGACTTGATTGAGTCTACTCTGATGCGTAGTTACAATGCATCAGAGCAGCCTCCAGGCCAATGTTCCCTCTAGGGAGTAGTGGTCCGTGAGCATGCCACCTTGGTCCGTGAGCATACCGCCTTGGTCCAGCATGGGACACTTATCAAAGGGGGCTGGAGGCTGGGGGCTGGCGCCTGGGGCCTGGAGGCCAGGGGCCGGGGGCCGGAGCTGAGATTGGGGGCCGGAGGCTGGGGGCCAGGGGCTGGTGCAGGCTCCACTGGCTCTGGGGAAGTGCTCCGCTCCCCTGCATCAGGGCCGGAGAGTGGAGCACTTCCCTGGAGCTGGCAGAACCCGTGCCAGCCCCCTGCCCCAGCCTCCATCCCTGCCTTGCCTCTGCTGGGGGAGGAGCTGCTGCCTGCCTCAGTGAGGCTCTGCCAGCTCCGGGACACTGCGGGACATGCCCCCCGAGGCCATGTGGGGGAGCGGAGCAGTATCCTAGAGCTGGCGGAGCCTCACTGCGGCAGGTAGCAGTTTCTCCCTGAGGTGAGGCTGGCGTGGGCTCTGCCAGCTCTGGGGAAGTGCTCCACTCCCTGGCCCTGATGTGGGGGGAGTGGAACACTTCCCCAGAGCCGGCGGAGCCCGCGCCAGCCCTCAGCCCCAGCCTCTCCTGGTGCGTGGCCTTGAAAAGGCTGTGTGCGGCCACACTTTTAGTTGTGCACAGCTATGTATGCACACACCTTAGATGAAACCTTGCTCCAGGCTCATATATAGGCACCCAGGGGTACTAGATTTAATGTGCATTAACTAAAGTGCATTAATGCACTTGTAGATGTGCCCTGTGTTAATGTTTTTTCTGCGAGGTTCCCTCTGTCTTGACTGAAATTCAGGTAATGATTTAGTCAAAGAACTTAGTGCATTTCCATCTGCTTTGCAGATCTGGACAACACAGGCTGGGCCAAAGGTTATACACCTAATGACTTTGAACTCCTGTGTCTGGATGGAAGGCGTGTTGCAGTCACAGAGTGGGCAGACTGTAACCTTGGTCCTGTTCCTCCTAATATAGTCATGACTCGACCAATGGCCATCACTAAGATCTATGACTTCTTAATGAAATCTCAGGTGAGGCAGATGATGGGAAAAGGATGAATGTGCTCTCTTTGTTAAATTCTGATTGCTGAAAACCCCACCAAGATCCAGAGCTTTGTTCATAACATATAATGTGTTTCTAGGACCAGCACTAGTGGATTAAGAATGTGTGCAGGAAATAAAGGGAGAACCATTTGGATTTACTAAAGGCAAATTTTTGGTACCGGTAGTTTCTTCATCATAACATCTTCTTGCTGAGAGAGAAACCTGTGATGCTGGAACAGCCAGTAGGTTAATCCAAGGAAGAGGAATGCAAAATCCCTTCCAGTAGAAACAAGGCGAGCACTAGCTGAACCTCACACATCTCTATTAGAGCCTGATTTTTAGCTAAAAATTCACCTAATTCATTTCACTGCTCATCATTTATTGCTTTGAAACTTTTATTTTTTTCTCATTTAGGAAAGTCTGGGAACCAGTCTGGACCCTGACTTCCATTTGTTTCAGTCTCAGAAGTATGGAGAGAGTGATCTGCTCTTTAAAGATGCTACTCAATACCTTGTTCACATAAATCACCTGGATTACCAGGCAATCCTTGGAGAGCCTTTCTTTCAGCTAGCAGAATCTGTATTTAATTGCACCCACGCAGGTAATGAGAGATATTGGGTTAAAACACACCTTTAGAAGTATGCAGATGGTATTGCTTCCTGGCCTTTTGGCTATGATCAAATGTGAAAATATGCCTACTATAACTTCTGGAATGTAACTTCAGCTCCCTAGAGAGCCAGTCCTGCTATACCATCTCCTTCAGAGACTTCTCCTAAGACTAGAATAGTAGGGAATTCCTCCAGAGCCAGCATTCCCCTGCAGCTGCTCCTCCCTATTGGAACTGGTATACAGTCAGTCTAGGGGCCTATTCTCACACAACCTTGTTAAAGTAACTGCTGCTACCTACCAGCTCTTAATGTACTGATACAGTATAGTGTAAATATTGTATTATGCATATAATTTATATCTGATAACCTCAATACTGAGGGTACCTAAAGGATACAGAAAAAGGATACCACAAGTACAGTATATGATCAGTAGCAAAATAAGGACAAATTCACTGGTAGTACAAAGCAGGTACAAGTTTATTGAAGCCAGAACCACTTACTCCAGATGTAAATCTAACCTTTAATCTCCAAAGACAGTTCTGGGGCTAAGGGAAAAAATAGGCAGAGAGATCAACATTTTTACTATAATTTTGAATTAAGTTTTTTAAAGAGAACACTATCAAACTGAATTTAAAAAAAAATAAAATTACTTTCAATAGCTTGTCAGGAAACTAAAATTATTTAATTCTGTTATAAAGGTTCTTTTTTACCCTCCATTACAGCATATGACTGCCCATCAGCAAACCCAAGGAACTGATGGCATAAAGGGACAGACCCATAAAGGTATTCAAGTCAGTGGGATGCTAGGCACCTTAAATCATCTTTATAGTATTTAGGCATCAAAGTGCCCTTAAAGGTGGAGTAAAACTGAAGACAGCATTCCAGTATGTGATCTAGCATTTTGATTTAGTGACTGAATGCAGCAGGTACAAACAGTTCCAAAAGAACTGTCATTTTAGGGTTGACAGCACCATAACGTTGACAGCATCAGTAATTAACTGTCTTTCTCGTTTGTAGACATCTTGGACTTCTGCAAACAGGATATCTGCACATCTTCATCTTAATATGACGTACATCAGCCCTTCAGGATGTTCCCTAACCACTGCACAGATTGAAATCAAAAGATGCAAGCCTAACATCAGCAAAAACAGCACAAGGAAAACAGCTGCCAATAGAAATTTAGATGGAGATTGGGTATTTCATGACCAGACAGATTTTATGTTTACATAGTGAAAAAGCTGAATGTTCAGGAGGCTCTTTGCACCTGCTGGTAAGGCACACTCTCCCATCCTATGATAACTACTGTGCTGGAGAAGCTGATAACGCTGCTGGGATGTCACTCCTTCACAACGTGAAAAAGAAAGAAGCCGAACTCAACAGCAACATATATTTTCTAAGCCTATGCAAGAAACACAGCATCATTCCCTGAGGACTGAATAGCTACAATCTTCTGACTACTACACACAGCTCTAAATATGCTTCACAACTATGGAGGAGAACTTCAGAAAAAACTTAGAAATCATCATCTTCACCTAACCTAGTTCAAAAGAGATCAACTCAGGAAGGAAATCAACACATGCTGCAACAACTTGAGAGAGAAAAATTTGGATATCTTTCCAGACATTATACAACATATACAAAGAGACTACCAAAGATTTTCTACAACATCCTTCCAACATAAAAAGAAGAAATGGAACCAATTAGGGACAACTTTTCCCAACCACAAAGCAACCATCAGAGAAACAACACCCAGTACCTTACAACATTCCAACCTCATACTCAATGTAACTGAAAGAACTAGTCAACCCTCAAGTATTATTCATCTCTCCACGCACACACTTACCAAAGCTGAAAAATCTGCCCTCTCTAAAGGCCTGAATTTCTATCTGTAGCATTGTTAGGGTATTTTTTCAATGTGGAAAACTAGAAGAATTCTTCTGACACACCCACTTCAAGGAATAGTTCCACAACCAAAATGAATTCACTTCCAACAAGACTTCAAAAAATCAGACTGCACACTTCAAAGTAGACAAAATTCAAACCTTGACCACTATGCTGACTGCTTCAGGGTAAGAATGAACAATGAAATAGCAATATGCCATCATAACAATCTCTCCCTCTCAGAGAGAAGGGCCACAGAATCTCTAAGATCCAACCACCAAACAGTAATATAACTAGCAGATAGAGGAAGAGCTATAGTTATCTTTAACCATGAAGACTACGTAAAAGCCAACAGACAACTCTGACACCACCTACTACAAAAAAAACTAGAGGAAGTGCAACTCCCTTTTTCACCTTAACACTCAAAACTACCATCAAATCATTTCCATCTGAACTACAAGATACTTGAAACTACAGGAAAACTACAAAACTTGATCCCTTCCACTACCCAAACCAGGGATTTTTTCCATGCTCCCTAAAATGCACAAACAAGGGAACCCAGGTAGACCTATCATATCCAACCACAGAACCCTAACTGAGGAAATACCAGGTTTCATCAGATCCATCCTAAAACCTCTTGTCACCCAAAGAGCAAGTTTTGTCCAAGACCTAAGACTTTCTACGAGCAACACTCTCTTAGCCACTATGGATGTTACCAGCTTATATACCAACATCCCACACCAGGATGGCATCCAAACCTGGCTTAAATATCTGTAAGAGCAAGATTACAACTCAGAGTACAGACTTGAAGATATTACTGAACTTATACATTTCATGCTCACACACAACGTCACTTTCAATAACCAACACTTCCCTCCAGACCACAGGCACAGCTGTGGGCACCAAAATGGCCCTCCAATATGCCAACCTTTTTATGAGCCACGTGGAAGAAGAATTTCTCAAAAACTGTACCAACCCCATGCTATTCTTAAGATATATAGGTGACATCATCATTTGGACTGAACCTGCAATCTGATTGATTTCCATCCGAAATTCAGTAATCATCACCCCTCCATCAGACTATATTTTGAATACTCTGGCACCAACATTTCCTTTTTAGACACTACGATCACTATCCAAAATGGTAAAATACAAACCAGCATATACAATAAGTCCACAGACCAACATATCTGCACAGAACTAGCAATCACCCAAAACATACCCAAAAAGCTCTAATATTCAGCTAAGCCCTTCGATACCACTGATTTTGAACTGAGGACACCCGCAATTGTTACTTCACAAATCTCAAAAGGGCTTTGACTCAACAAGGACACTCCTTCAGAAAGATAGACTGCACATTTGAAAGAGCCATCCAGATACCACATAAAGAATTGCTGCAGTACAAAAAGAAAATTTCCACAAATCGCGTACCATTAGTTATGACATACCATCCCTCCTGGAACCTATACAGAAAATCCTCAAACAATTGCAACCATAATAGAAGAAAACCAAAATCTTAAAGAGATCTTCCCAAAACCACCCATCCTTTAAACAAGCACTGAACCTTACCCATCTCATCACCAGAAGCAAGCTTCCCATTATGGCCCCAAATGCGCTGAATGGATCCAGAGCATGCCAGGACAAGAAATGCAAGACCTGCCAATATACCTTCAGCATTCCCACAATAACTGCACCTCACAACAGAACCATCACCATTCCTGGATCTTACACCTGCACCTCCAGAAATGTTATACATCTCATCCAGTGCACTAAATGCCCTGATAACATATGCAGGAGAAACCAAACAATAACCTTGTACCAATGAATGCACACTGAAAATCTATCAAAGACAAATACCCAATTACCTGTGGGTACACAAGACAACCACTCTCTCCAATCTCTTAGTTCTAATTCTCAAAGGAAATTTACAAAACACCTTTAGTAGAAAAGCCTACAAACTTCATAAATCTTCTGGATAACTTCATAAATCTACTGGATACAAAAAATCATGGACTAAATATAGACATTGGATTTATGACACATTATAACCTGCCTTCCATCTGATGACCCCAGGTAACCTCTCTACAATTTACCAGCTACATTTTATTACCAGGTCACCATTCCCCCTTTCACCCCCCCCACCCCAAAAAAAAACCCCAAAACAAAACAAAAAACCAAAAACTTGCCTCACCCCCTCTGACCCTCACTCTGACCTGCATTTTTGCACTGGCTTCTATCTTATCCAGGAAAGCACATAACTGTAAACTCTCCCTCTGCCTCAAGAAGGGTGTTTGTGCCCAAAAGCTTGCAATGAACAATTTTTCCAACTATTTAGTTGGTCTAATAAAATATATCACATTTACCCAAAGAACCTTGCCTACAGATGTCACTCCCACATATCAAGTGACCACATCACCTGTAGATTTTCTTTGCTCAGCTTGGAACATGGCAATATGCAGAATCCCATATATCAGGCAGCAGAACTAGCTGCATCTCAGTGTATGCAAACAGTTAAAATACAGACACCCTCCAAATAATTTTTTATAGCAACAATTCAACATTTTTGTAGGAAGAGCTGATCCAACTCCATAGGCCCAGCAGTCATCCCTGTTTTTATGTATCATGTGGATCACACATTGCTGAAAAGCACGCTTTGACTTCTTTCCCCGTTGTCTCATTTATACTACATTTCTAGTTAAAATGGGTAAGTTGTAACCCTCCCACAAGGATGTTGTTACTGTTAGATAGCCACTACCCACACGTTTTTGACATTTAGCACAGACTAGCAACCTAAGTAGCCTTTTCTACTAGGAACAGGGAAGAGTTGGTTTCTCTTCTGCTGTAACAAACAAGAACTTGTACCAAATGTACTGACATCTTCCAGGTAGCCTGTGGAAAATTCACTCTAAGGAATAAACAGTTTCTACTCACAGAATCAGGTTCTTGTAAGCTTAAGATGTGCTGGGGATAGGTGAGAAGCAAAAACAAATGGAGTTTCCACTCTTTTCCAAAACACTGATCTTTACTTTACAGAATCTCTTATGTCTAAATGTATGTAGTTAAGCTGTAAGCTTTTTATAACAGGAGAAAGTTGAACATGGTGCAAAGTCTGTGGAGTGTATTATCATGTCCAGCTCTTCCTAGCTTGACATCTGGCTTGTTACTTTCTCAGTCCTTGCTTAAAGCCACTGTTATCCGTCTGAAGAGGATTGGACAGAACTCATTCCGTCTGCCTTGCTGAACAGTACCGTTCTCCACACTAGGTTAATCAAAACCCTCCCATTTCCAAGGGACTTACATTAACCTAAGCTATCCAAGGGAGAAAGAATAACCAGGAACTTTCCCTAAATAAATTGATGTGAAACAATGGAAGGCACACTAGCTGGACATTGCAGCAGAAACACAGTTGCAAATAGCCATCACTAAAAATACTCACAGTCTACTTGTTACTGTCTAACCATAGAGTCTCAGTTAAGAACATATCTGGATACAAGATTTGTGGGAATTTCAATATTTTTGCTGTTTTCCAGGTAGCTGGGTTGACTCCCAGGCTTCTTTCCTTGCAGTGTTCTCCAAATGGTCTTGCATGGTGCCACCTTCTTATCCAATAGGGAAGAAAAAAAATCTTGGAGCCAGCTTCAGCAGTTTGTGTCTAGATGAATCATCTCTACTTCTGGCTCCCCATCTCCCTCACTGAGGGCTGTAACTCCAGCTCAGACTCCCTGCCTGGCTCCATTGAACAAGCCAATACAGAAAGCAGGCACTACAATGTACGTGCCTTCCAGCGGAAGGCTGAAAAAGCAAAGGGCAGATGCAGGAAGGTCCAAGCATGGCAGGAGAATAAAAACTGGTCAAGCACTTAGCAAGAGTAAAATAAAATGGCATAATGCAGCAAAAATTGTGAAGTCCTTGTATGGTGTTAGTTCTACAGCCAGCATTAGATCAATTCATTTTAGCAAGCTGAAGTCTTAAAAGGCATCCTTTTATTTTTTGGGTTTAATATTCCACCTGCTGGACTGAAGCAGCACTGTACTTCTATCTTGAGAAAGGGCTTCCAAAGCTAAGATTATATTAAAAGTGGGAAATATTAAGATGGCTGTAGAATGCAGACTTAATGCAATTAAAAAATATGAGGATCTCCAAATTTCATCAACTACATTTTGATATGTGGATGGCATCTGTCCAAAAAAAATCCAGACAGGAATTTCCACAGGAAGAATTGTTCACAGAAACTTCGGGGTAAATCTTCTTGATATTTACTTGTTTCAGTTTTGGTGTAATGTTACTGGCCTGGTCCACAGACTGTAGTGTATGAAGCACAGGCCTAATCCATAGTTTCTGATCTCTTTTGCTTCTGAATCCAGTGGATTGTTCAGTATTTCATAAGCTGTAATTGACAATACTTTACTACCTACTAGAGATGACCATTGTGGTCTGCTACAAGCAATTACATATGATACCATACACCTCTTTTCCTCAGGCAGGGGGTTTGACTAGGTGACCTCTTGAGGTCCCTTCCAGTTCTACTTCTGTATGATTTCTGTGATTCTAATTACTCCATTCTCTTCCTCCACCCTTGTGGCAACAGAACTTGGGAGGAGTATTGCAAGGTCACACCAGTAGGCTGTACTTGGTCAGCAAACTTTGAAAGGCTAGTAGTTACAGCAGAGCTTATTAGTTTGAAAAGCTGAGAACACAGAAAACTGGGACGATACAGTAAGGAACACGAGATAGTTTTTAAGGTGAACCATTCTACACTTGCCCACCATGCTGCATAGCCTCTAAAGAGGAAAACATCAGGAC